ATATATATATATATATATATATATATATATGTATGTATGTATGTTTTGGTATATTTTTATAACTTTGCGTGGGTATATTATGTATTCTTTCTTCGCTTAACTCGATCGAGTGTAATACTATCGCACTGTTATGTATATATTTTACGCACAGTTTTCTTTATTTTTTTTTTTTTTTTCTGAAAATGTGAAAACAGATCTTAAAATATCTCAAATCACCGCATGAGTGTGCTATTAAGTTTTTTTTTTTTTCTTTTTTTCTGTTCGCTTACTATACAAATATTTACGAAATTTCAGAAACAACAACAAAGTTCTTATTCTTGAAAATTTATACATTTTATAAAAGCACTGAAATTTCATCTTGATGTTGAAATAGAGAGAGAGAGAGAGAGAGAGAGAGAGAGAGAACAAACGAACGCAAGAGGCACAGAAATTGACAGAGAAAATATAACACGAGAGAGAAAGAATAAGAGAGAGAAAGAGAGAGAAAATATATTTGTAAAACGGAAGCGACTTAAAATACAGTAATCCCTCGCTATATACAAAGGGATTATCATTATTATAAAGTTTAAAAAGGCTCGAGCCTAACATCGCAGTCAAATTCAGCTAATTAGTGTTATGTGCCAAGATCTATAGAAGATTTGAAGTTAAAATTAGTTTAAAGAAAAAGTTAGGTTGTAGTGTAGAGACTAATAAGTCAATGTTCGAACATTTAAATATCAGTGCAGTAGAGCACTATTTGGCCATAGCTGAAGTCAATGTTGAGTCGGTAAAGACGCAACACCGATCTTGGATATCCACCACCGTCGCCATGTTACACGTACAGAGGCCTTCCTTGACTGATTAATTAAACTCAAGAAGAAAAAAAATGTTTTATTTATGTAAAGGTCTTTCCATCGTTTTTCCATGGTTTTACAAGCTTTCTGGCAGCTTAGGCAGGTTACCGGTCGAAAGAAACTGCCTTTTTTTGACTATTCATGCAAACAGCATCGCCACGAGAATCATGTACTTTTATAAGAAATTCGTATCGACATAACAGTGGGAAAGTTTTGTCTACATAGACCATAAGCTGTTAATTGCCGCAAGGATTTAAAGGCAATATCTGGCATATACAGCGAACAAAGTTGTACAATCCCCTTCGGTCCTCTTAACGTTTTGCAATATGAGTTCTAGCAAATCGTTATATATATACATACGTAAATAATGAAAATTCATATTCACATCAGACATCGCGTGACATTCTCCTATTAAAACTAATCAAAATTAATCTGCAGCTGCGTCCTGAGCCTTATCACAAAGATGCTATAAGTCATTTTATTGCTTGTTCTTTGCAGGCCACGGCTTCCTAACAAAAATGATGTTGGTAGTGCGCTATTGTGATTGTTCCTTCGGTACATTAAAAATGAGACAAAGTTATAAGGACTTTAGCAAAGAAATATCCAGCGACCGCAATGTATTCTTTAATTCTCCAATATACAATTTATGACTACGAACTTGATCGACTCTTGATCTCTTCTCATCTCCAAATCTGTTCAGTGTATTATAATCTGAAAGTGTCAGAATCATAAGCAAGGAAAGAAACATTTTAGCTTCGTTCAGTTCTTATTGGATCAAAAAGATATTACAGAACTGGGTTATGGTTCCTTTTTTTAGTTGGAGGTTGGTTAAGCAAAGGTGGTCAACGCAAAAAGTGGGTTTATTTAGATTTCCAATACAGGGTCACGAGGACGTTTGTGTTATCAAGTACCCTCCGTAGTGCAAAGGTACGTCTGATTTGTGCGAACGTACTCAATACCGAGAATGATTTGCGGTAAAACTACATCTTATTATCCTAGTCGGCTGAGAATCATTTTCCGTTTGTCCCTCTGTCCAGCTTTCCAATCATATGTCCATCAATATGTTTTTGTATTTTGGACGAATACGACGAACCCTATTGAAAATTGTTTAAATTGCAGTAATTTTATGAACGAAATATCCCACAAAATACCACGCCTTGAAAGAATCGTCATATGAAAAACAATTTGCATATTTTGATATTTTTCAACGAAGGGGGATGTTTTTGACTAAACGCCTATGGGAAATTGTAAAAGACAGCTTCAAAATGATTCAAAAAATTATTCTAAATCGATCTGCATACGAAAAGGTGGACCCCTCTCATATTCTTCATGATCTTTCATTCGCACGTACAACCTTGACACGTGTAGAATTTTATTAGGGCAGAGCAGTGAAATTTACTTTCCTAAATTGGACTACATGAATCTATTTTTCGTACCTCTTTCCGCATAAGATTTTTCATAAAAAATAAAACGTGCTTTTTGGTATTCGTTCCGTAAGAATGACAGGCGAACTGATGTAACTATAAAGTTTTATTATTTGCATGACAGTATAGCCTGCGTAGGGAGAGAATTTAACAAATTTGGCTGGATCTGTTATCTGAAATGTCTTTAGGAGATCAAAAGATTTCATTTGGGGTCATCCAGGTACAGAGAAGAGCAAACTTATTGTGTAACAGTATTCCTATCTTCACCATTACTCACACGCAGCATCTGATTCATCTGCTCTTCAATTCCTGGCATCCAAAATGAGAGAAAAAAAAATGTTTTCTGCTTATGTTAAAAGCTTCCTGTACAGTTATCATATGTTTCAATAAATGAAAATAATTTTTTTTGTTTTTTTTTTTCTTCTATAAAATGTGGAAAATGTAAGGGAATAAAATCCTTAGCACGAGCTATAAGAATGAAAAATAAAAAAAAAAACAAAAAAAAAAAAATAAATAACAAACTAACCGAATAGCATTTTTCTTGAACTTTGATCGGAGCAAAAATATTTTTTTGTAAATTCGATCTATCGGATCAGTTTGCTGCCTGTGGAAATACAACTAAAATAAACAATCACAACACAAGTTTATTCATCCATCTACAAGTGTTTGTATATATGAGTGCGTGCTGGCTTGTATAGCGAGGTAAGTTTATATATATATATATATATATATAAAACACTCACACACACACATACGCATTAATATGTAATTTTAGAATTCTTAGTAATCTTAAGTTTATTTTAAAAGAAATTTGAATAAAAGCATTATATAGGGAAAAACAAAATTGAAAAAAAAAAAAAAACAAAACAAAATACAACAAAAAAATTGTTTCAAAAGTTATTCATGTGTGTAAAAACAAGAAAAAATTATAACACTGACAATAATGAATGATGATTAGCAAAATTCAAATAAAAAAAATAAATAAATAAAAAAAAAAAAAAAGCGGAACAGAACAGAAAAAAGAGAACAGAAATCGAGATGAAAAACATATGAGCAGAGGAATTTTCACAGACACACAGAGAGAGAGAGAGAGAGAGAATGAGAGAGAGATCTAAGCACAGATAAGGAAAGAATTTCTTCTCAAATATTTGAAGGTATTTTGCCAAATATTTATTAGGCATTGCAAAAAAAAAAAAAAAAAGAAAAAGATTTTGAAAATGAAATTGAAACTTATTCGAAAATAAATTTGTTTTTTAATTTAAAAATTTTTTTAATTAAAATATTTATGAAAAATGATCCGTTATATGAAATTTTCATAAAAGTTGGCTAAGTAATTGTTTGTGTTTCTCTTTTCATTTGCTTTCTTTTGCTTATAATCACAGATATCTATCTATCTTCATATTGCATGCAATCAGAGATGAAAAAAGAAACGAGAAAATTTTATTTTATTTTATTTTATGCATTACATCGTCAAGGTATTCATGCTGAGTAATTGTTCAAATGCATTTTTCGCGCACTTCACACATACGTACGTTTTTGTTCAATCAAATTAATGCAAGAATACCGTAAAAGTATGTAAATTAAAAACAAATCAAAATATTTCCAATTTTCAAGTAAAATCTCAAATAAATCCATGCAATGCCTCTTCTCAACTTTTTAATTGAATATATAAAATTAAAAGTTTTCTAATTAATTCTCGGGCGTGGCAAAATGACTTTACTTGCAAAACTAATAATGCAACTAGAGATGGTCGAGTAAACACATATTAGTCAAATCAATATTATATCGATCTTGGGTACACATAGTCTTTCAACAAATCGTGTTATTCGTAAATTTCGGGCCATAAGCGTTATTGTATTGCCCTTTGCAACTAATAATGTTCGATGCCTTCCTTTTCCTTACTAATGCTAATTCAACGCTTACTAGGAATGGATTGCGTTACCGAATGATATTGTGACTCAGTTTTTATGGCCTGGAACTAATGCTATTCATGTAGACGACGTTTATTTTCAGCAAGACGATGCCACTTGCCACACGCCTCGTAGTATAGTGGATCTATTCGCTGAAAAACCCTTAACCCGTCTCGTAGAATTTTAAATGTTTTCATTGAATTTTCTTTAGCCCTTAGAATCCTGCCAAGTATATGCGTACTTGTAACTGTTCATTGATTTTGCAAACTTACATCGCGTCCGCAAAAGTGGATAATATTTGTAATGCCTGGGCTAACTGGTGGATTGTAAGTGTCATTTAAACAGATGGGCGGACGTTGCTAATCTAATTCTCTTTTTAATACTGATACTGGAAAAAGCTCGAACTCTGAACTTGTCCTATTTGAAGGACCTCTTGTCTTGAGATCAAGTAGACGTGGCAGTGAAACTCTGGAATATTCTTTTCGAAAATTCTTTTCGCATATTGCCAGAGCAATCAGTAGC